TGACACCCAGGTAGATGTGTCCTTGGCCTAATGGCTTGGGGTGCAACTTGCGTTCAAAGACTCGATGGTTCATGGGATTCAACAATTCACACCAAGTATCACATTCTGCTACGTTCTTCATCGATGCGAGAGCCAAGATATCCATTATTGAGAGTCATTTTGTGTTTTCACGACAAAGCAGTCGTATCTATGGCGCACGCTCACCATGAACAGGGCGAGGACAGGACACGACTGCCTTTTCATTTTAATTCCTTGGCGCGATTCATGCCGGGGGTTGTTCGTTTTGCCTCGGAGACACCCGGTCGTGCCACCCAACAGCATGAAGTGCATGCGGGAGCAAGCGATCCAATGCTCCGAGATGTGGAGTGGTCGAGGGAAATACGCGACAAGTCCCCCTCCAGTTGTTGTTCGATAACGTGTTCGCGGGTTGTTCTACTAGGCAGGTTTCAAAAATGATACTTTCGTAGGTTCACCTACGAAAAGCTTGTTACGACTTCTCCTTCCTCTAAATGATAAGGTTCAGTGGACTTCTCGCGACGTCGTGGGTAGCGAACCACCCACGTTGTTGCGATTCGAAGACTTTACCAGATCATTCAATCGGTAGGAGCGACGGGCAGTGTGTACAGAGGGCAGGGACATAGTCAACGCAAGCTGATGACTCGTGCTTACTATGAAATCCTCATTTAAGACCAACAATTACAATGATCTATCCCCATCACGATGAAATTTCAAAGATTACCCGTGCCTGTCAGCCAAGGCTATAGACTCGTTGAATGCATTAGTGTAGCGCACGTGATGGCCCAGAACATCTAAGGACATCATAGACCTGTTATTGCTTCAAACTTCCTTGGCCTAAGCGGCCATAGTCCATCTTAGAAGCTAGCCACGGAGGATCACCTCCGTGTAGCTAGTTAGAAGGTTATGGTCTCGTTCGTTAATGAATTAACCAGACAAATCGCTCCACCAACTAAGAACGGCCATGCACCACTACCCATAGAATCAAGAAGGAGCTCTCAGTCTGTCAATCCATACTATGTCTGGACCTGGTAAGTTTCCCCGTGTTGAGTCAATTTAAGCCGCAGGCTCCACTTCTGATGGTGCCCTTTCGTCAATTCCTTTAAGTTTCAGGCTTGTGACCATACTCTCCCCAAAACCCAAAGACTTTGATTTCTCATAAGTTGCCGGCAGAGTCCTAAAACAACATCCGCCGATCCTTGGTCGGCATCGTTTTTGGTTGATACTAGGATGATATCTGATCATCTTCGAGTCCCCAATCTTCGTTCTTGATTAATCAAAACATCATTGGCAAATGCTTTCGCAGTTGTTCATCTTTCATAAATCCAAGAATTTCACCTCTGACTATGAAATACGAATGGCCCTGACTGTCCCTATTAATCATTACTCTGATCCCGAAGGCCAATACAATAGGATCGAAATCCTGTGATGTTATCCCATGCTAATGTATATAATTGTAGGCCTTCTTTGAGCACTCTCATTTCTTCAAAGTAACAGCGCCGGAGGAACGACCCGGCCAATTAAGGCCAGAAGCGCATCACTGGCAGTAGAGACGAGTAGACCAGTGCTCATCGTTAGGCGGACCGGTCGACCCAACCCTAGGTCCAATGACGAGATTTTTAACTGCAACAACTTAAATATACGCTATTGGAGCTGGAATTACCACGGCTGCTGGCACCAGACTTGCCCTCTAAGGGATCCTCGTTAAGGGATTTAGATTGTACTCATTCCAATTACCAGACTCGTAGAGCCCGGTATTGTTATTTATTGTCACTACCTCCCCGTGTCAGGATTGGGTAATTTGCACGCCTGCTGCCTTTCTTGGATGTGGTAGCCGTTTCTCAGGCTCCCTCTCCGAAATCAAACCCTAATTCTCCGTAACCCATCACCACCATAGTAGGCCACTATCCTACCATCGAAAGTTGATAGGGCATAAATTTGAATGATGCGTGGCCTGCACAAAGGTCGTGCGATCCGTCGAGTTATCATGAATCATCAGAGCAACGGGTAAATCCCGCGTCGAACTTTTATCTAATAAATGTATCCCTTCTAGAAGTTAGGGTTTATTGTACGTATTAGCTCTAGAATTACTATAGTTATCCGAGTAGAAAATACCATCAAACAAACTTTAACTGATTTAATGAGCCATTAGCAGTTTCACAGTTTGAATTAGTTCATACTTACACATGCATGGCTTAATCTTTGAGACAAGCATATGACTACTGGCAGGATCAACCAGGTAGCATTCCTTCGCGACATCGGGCATCGTATGGTCCTCAATCCAATGCCTTGGCAGTGGACGAGGACATAATAGGACACGAGCATCGTTCATTCCGAGGGACAAAAATGCGTAGGTATCGAGCGATGGGGCCGAGGGACCCTACGCTCATAAAATGTTCCGCATCCAAAAGAACGATCAAGAACTGATGCACCGCCGTGGCCGAGTATACATAAAAAGCACACATGGGACACCGAGTATGACTTAAGTCCACCACGTAGGTACAAGGACACAAGATGGAAGATGAATGGTAAGACATCCGAAATTCCATCGATTTTGGTACGCAACACAGGATCCCAATCGCACCCCTTGGGTTCGAAGACTGCAAGGGGATACATTGAAGAGGAGTGCGGCTCGATAGTTCGATGCATGTAGCATGGATCCTGCCGACACACACAACCATATCACCACTCCCACCGGTCCATAAACCATACAACCAATGACTTGGCCGATGAGCAGAGGAAATAATGAACGAGGGCACACCACAATTGATTGGCATGAAAACTAGACATAGGCGAGTATACCTGTCAATTTCCCATCACGAAGGCAACCAACAGCGACAAGTTTGTTTTGGTTCAAATATTTAACGACCTTTTTGTGAAGTCTTTTTTTTTTGGGGTTGGGTGGGGTGTGTGGCCTTTTTTGGTTTAGAGGAAATGGGTGGCCTTTTTTGGTTTTAGAGGAAAATGATGGCCTCTTTGAGTTTGAGTGGAGGAAAGGGCTGGCCAACTACTTTGATGAGGGGAGCATAACCCACTCGAGCTTCTATCTCGCTCCCCCAATAGGCCGTTACCAACAAAGGACTTGGTTCTGTGTGAAAAATGTCTTGGCAAGTAACACAGAGCCAATAGAGCACGCGAACTATACCAAAGCGAGGAGCAGTTACTGAGTTTGTCCGAACATGGAAAGACAATGACCAATGCACAGGTGGGTGCTACACCACTCCGAGTTGATACCTCGCCCAGGATATGGGGAAGAGCTTCATGAGTATCAGGCGCATCGACCATTCACACAATCACGTTCTTTCGGCTACCATGTCCGACTAGCCCCACCGGTGATGGGGGCTAACCCGTGCTAGCGCTAGGAGCTACCTTGCCCCCGTGGGGTGCCGAGGCCCGTACCCCCCGGGGATATCGGAGGGGATGCCAGGCCACTACCCCCTAAAGAGCTAAAAACACATAGGCAAAATGATACCAGTAGACATTGAAATGTCTGAAACGAGGACACTTTCTCCATCGCTCTTCTTGTGGCCACCTAATGGCCTTTTTTATGGCCATGAAGTGTATGGCTCCCGCATCCAAGTGCTTAACTGCAAGTATTATTCGTTGGTTTGACCTTTTGTCGGTTGTAGACCGCAACTAATGTCTGTTGTTTCCCACCATTCATCGAGTCCATCGATCGATTTAAACTCTCGAGGCACTAGTGCTTTTCAAATTATCTATTTCCAAGGGGGAGGGGCATTTTTCATTGTTTGGGACTTATAGAAGCTCCGATTGTGTCTCGCTGGAGCACCACCGGGAACCTTACCTATGGTGGGGGGCTCTGATGGCCGGTATGGGACCAGTCACAACCCTAGGGGAACCTGTCGGGCCTCAAGAACCATGCCCCTAAAGAGCTAAAAAAACTTAGGCAAAATGCTACAAGTAGACATTGAAATGTCTGAAATACAGACACTTCCTTCCCCACGCACCAGTGGGTCGTACGCTCTGCCCGACCCTGTGCGAGGCTCCCGCACCAGCGCTCGATTCTGTGCGGCACTCCTGCACCAATGGCCAGGGGTTATCGAGGCCCCCACACCCATTTCTCGACTCTATACGGCACTTCCGCACCCAAGGTCTGTGGTTACTGAGGCACCAGTCGGGGGTTGTCGATGGTGACCGAGGCTCCCGCACCCATGGTCCGGGGTTACCGATGGTGATCGAGACACCCGGCTGGGTTTACCGATGGTGACCGAGGCCACCCGCTTGAGATTACCGATGGTGATCGAGACACCCGTCTGGGTTTACCGATGGTGACCGAGATACCCGTATGGGTTTGCCGATGGTGACCGAGGCTACCTGCCTGGGATTACCGATGGTGATCGAGGCTCACGTACACGATTGTTGAAGGTGACTAAGGCTCCCGTACCAATGGTCCGGGTTGTCAATGGTAGCCAAGTCACCCATTTGGGTTTGCCGATGGTGACCGAGGCCACCCGCCTAGGATTGCCGATGGAGACCGAGGCTCACGCACACAGAGGCCTAATGGTGATCGACTCTCCCCCACCCAATGGTGTGTTTCCTGCCCGATGTTGTGCGAGTCTCCAGGACCCGTGGGTGTGCTACTTCCCGATGCTGTGCGAGGCTACCATGCCAACATGCTTAGGACCCGTCGATGGGGTTTTCTTTAAATACCGTAAACTTTAAATTTTCCGAAGTCATGGAACTTGTAGAAGGCAGAAGATTGAAGTAGATGTGGTATTGGACCGGAACCATCGTTCCTTAGGAAGGGTCCCCATTCCCTCTTGTCGAACCCCTAGATTTCCAACACAAAAAATTAAGGATACGAACGATGGGGGGAGGGACGAATCCAATCGACAAAGGGCTGAATCTTAGTGGATCGTGGAAGCAAGGCAGCTCTTCCACTTATAATACCCCATCGTGTATTTAAGTCATCTGCAAAGGATTCTACCCACCGCTCGGTGGAAATTACGTTCCAGGGAGGCACG